GGACCCTGTGGCTGGCGGAAAAATGTCCGTCAGGTTTGATCCATAGTATAATATATAATATGTATACATGAGCACCTCCAGAAGCAGTCATTGGAGAAGAAAGACATGGGGCAAATGTAGCAGTTGAGGTCATGTGGTTGTGTGTCACCAACACTCCCAATGCAGCCTGTATGTTGTGTGCCACCAACGACTCCTCTCTCTCTCTCTATGTGTAAATCCGAAGGCTCAAGGCTCAAACACCACTCTGCTATGGAGTACTCTGACTCACGACTTGGCTCAGAGCTGGCGACATGGCGGAGGCATTCCTTTCAGTAGCCTAAGTGACTCTGTACATTGTGATGTTGGGCGTGACCGTTGGAACAGTCACGACTGGAGCGGTGACTTTGGCGGTCAAACTCGACCGACCAAAGGTCGCGACTGGACTCTTCTTCTAGTAGCCGTTTTGATATATTATATATTAGAATATAGATCCACAGCGCACATCAAACCAGTGTACAGTGCAAAACCTTTTTTCACTCACGGTCGCCATACCCAGTGCATCCAATATGCGCAGATATCTTTGTAGCGTGTATTGCAGCTTGCTAGTTGCATCCTTGTGATGTTTTGGAAGCTTTAGAATCCTTTGCACTCCTCATAGCTTTCCTACTGTCTTGCGGTTTTCGGCTCACGCGTCGGGTCTCGCCCGCTTGGCTTGCGCGCTACGTTTGGATAACGTGTAGCTTTCCTCTACACCTGCCGTCGTTTGTACCCTGGTGGCATTACCGCGTCGTCCCGGCGAAAAAAAAAAGGTATTGGGTTTGAGGGTGGATTACACCCTGGGGTTTAGAATGTACGCAGCCTGCACAGCCGGCTTACGGCACCTCCACAGCGCGCGCGATCAGCTGACACCCGCGCCGGTGCGCTTTCCCAGCTGACAACACCGGCAGCGGCGCCAGCGCCCGACCAGCGCCGCCACCCGTCCGCGCGCTCAGCCAGCTCACAGCACCAGCGCCCAGGACCGCAGCGCCAGCACCAGCGCCGACACCCTGTCGAAAGCGCGCGCAGCCAGCTCATTCTTATTTGCAGCAAGAAGCCCCATAGCTATCCCTATTTGGGGAATATCAACGTATGATCTTGCACGTAAAAGTTTGTGCGCACAAAGGTATGCGCGCTAACAGCAAAGCCCATAAGTGTCATTGGCCTAAGGCTAAGCAGTATCCAGCGCCGCTGTTGACTCTGTAGCATGCTTGAAGCAACGATCTGCAGAACGATAAGGCCGTATGATCTTGCGCGTACAAGTTTACGCGCGCAAAAGTATGCGCACAAACGGCAAAGCCCGTAGGCTTCACTCGCCCAAGGCCAAGCAGTATCCAGCGCGACTATTGTGTGTGTAGCACGCTGAAACATGCTGAAACCATGGTCGGTTGAGAGCCTGACGTTGCGCATAGAACATTATACGTACAAAAATATGCTCGCAAACAGTACAGCCCTTCACACAGCTGTCGGCCAAAACAGAACCTGAAGAGTGTAAATACCCCACAGTGCTAATAGACAAAGAACGCTCAAGCGACAACACAGTATGATGTTGCGCGCGTAAGTTCATGCGGGCCATGACTGCTGGCGCTTCATTGTCAGAAGCGCCCTTCACTGCTGCAAGCGGCGGTTTGTTACCCTGCTTCGGGGGAGAAAGAGAGAAGTGGTTTGCAATGTTGAGTGACCTTCCAGCACTCCCGCGGCATCTTTCAATGGATTGTCCGGGCATGCAGGGCACAGCGCCAGCGCACCCAGCGCCGGCGCCCGGCTCCCAGCACCAGCACCGGCGCCAGCAACCTGTCTCCACCGCGCGCACAGCCAGCTCACAGCACCAGCACCAGCACCGGCGCCCAGCACCAGCAACCTGTCTCGAAAGCGCGCACGGGCAACTCATTGTTATTTGAAGTAAGAACCCCATAGCTTCGCTATCTGGGGAAAAACCTAAGCCCATAAAAGGTGCAAGTTTGGGCGGTGCGGGAAACCATATACAAAAGCGGCGTGCCTCCCCTCGACGCATCTTGGGGAGGCGCCGCCGCGGTACTGTAAACACTTAAAACCCTAAAACGCCAGGCCAGCACTAGTGGTCACGCTATTGCCTGGCGGTCGTTTTCGTTGCTGTTGCGTGGTCATGGTGGTTGGCGTTGTTGTCTGAATATGCACAGAGAGAGAGAGAGAGAGAGAGAGAGCACAAAATGCTTTGCCACTGCGGTGGCGACGTCGACCTTGCTTGGAGCCGTGTTTGGGGCAGTGACTCTCATGGGTACTCTGTGGAGGTTGTCATCCAAGCTGAAAGCGCACGCGCCGTGCAACTGTGAAGTGGGGCTTCTGAAACAACGTGAGCAGGTGAGTTATGCAGCTGTAATGTCGCTGAACGGCTAGACAAAGAAAAAGATCGGGGCATCCTCCGACAAGAACACTCAGACTGGCTTTCTTCACGGGTCACCGCGCCGAGGTGAGAGCATGGGCTTAAAAGCAACGCTTGTGACCTGTCATGTTAGATTGTTGGTTTTGGGTTCGCTGACCATTCCAACTTCCATCGGATCTGGGCGCGCGGTTCGATTTTCTCGGCCAACGGTCTAGCGAGTCCGGTGCGCGGCAAAGTGTGCGCCCGAGAAGGCGCGCGAACCAATTCACGCTGTCCGAGCCCTCCTCGAGGAGCTGATAGAAGACCACAGTGCAGCCAACGCCGCCGACGGTCACATGGAGTACATGGAAATTTGAGCGGGGGCCAGCTGGTGGCCAAGCGAAGCGGCCGCGGTGTGCGCGAGGCGGGGGGGGGCGGGCAAAGCGGGCAGCCAAAGTATGGTCCGTGATGCGCTGCTCTAGCCAGTGGATGGATTTGCAGAAGACTTCCGGGAGGTTGTCCCGGGCCATGTTGCAGCAGGTGGCGGCCACAGAAATGTGCTCTCGCCTCGCTGCGCGCGCTGCTCAGCCGCAAGACGGCAAAGCCACAGGCGGTCGGCGCGACAGGGCAACATTTTTGTTGGAGAGATCAAGTCGCTGCCTGGCCATAGAGTGGATTGAATTGTGTTTTGTCACATCGAATCTTTTAACGGTATAGCGGAGATAGAACCACCAGACCCACAGGTATGAAATGGTTGTCTTTCTTGTGGATATGGTTTGTTTTGGGTGTGGTTACCCAACTCGGGCCCAACGCGCAACATTTCCTGAGGGAGCAACAGCAGAAAAACACGGTAGACTTCCCCCTATACGAAAACCCTCGCAGCAACTTCCCATAATGGTAGGTATTTAGAACGGAAAAATGAGAAGTCAATTCCACAGGTTGGTGGAGGAGCCCTGTGTTTTCTGTGCCCTGGGGAAGTCGACTCTTGTCAGTTTCGCAGCTCGGAGCCCTGCCAGCGGGTTGGCGGCCCTCTTTCGGTCGCAGGAAGAAGATGCCCGGACGGTGAGCGGCGGACCGTCGCTAAAGCGACGCCGCCGACGCGGTAAACAAGTAGAACCCGAGGCATACCTCGCGCTGTCCCCGGCCTGTAGGCCCGAGGAGGAATGCACGGGGTACAAGGACTCGGACTCCTCGGCACGCTGCTTCTGCCCGTCGCGGAATGGCGCAGCTGCCCGCGTGCAACTGACACGGGGCGAAACCAAGTGCTTGTTCTGCTCTGGAGAGCAGATGCAGAAAATGAACGAGGCCGGCCGGTCCAACGGGATCACAGCGGCCCTGGAAAGGTTCTGTGCGGCGAGCCGGGCGTGTATTTCGCAGCGCTAGACCGTGTCCGGCGTTTCCTTGGCCAAGAAGCAGCGAAGGAATATGCGGCACGCAGCCAGCTGTGAGACACGCCCAGAAATGGAAGCGGCAAGGACAGAAACACAGGAGGCCGCGCTGCAAAACAAATACCGGGCGGGACGGGGGCCACGGCGTGGGACACCGAGAAGGCAGAGCCAAATCAGCGAAAACAACTATCATAGCGTACATCGGTCTGGCAGCACACCTCCGTACGGGAGAGGTGATGAAGCGTGGGGGCTTCATTGAGTCACCATGCCGATCCGGCATGTGCTTGGATCATTGGTGACTTGAAACAACGCACTGCAGCATTTCTGTTCACTTCACGACATGCTTGTGTCTATCAAACTGACAGGCTGCCTTGGATTCCGTTGCCGGCAAACTGGAGAGCGGGGTGAAGTGGTGGAAGTGGATGGAGCAGGCGGTCAGCTGCCGACAAAGTTCTTGCAGTTTTTGTAGTGCCCACGAAAGGGTTGGCTTGACTTGCAACCAGGAGCCAGGCAGACGAGGAACCTTTGCAGACTGAACAACCCAGATCTTTTGATACGTGAATACACATCGACGTGTACGCAAGTTCACATTCGAACAAAACTTTGTGATTTGCTTATGATTTCCTTGTCGTTGCCCTCAACGCAGCAGGTTCATCAGTCGGGATCAACGCCTTCACAGCTGTCCAGCTAGGCGGATAAGACACATGTTGTTATCTTTTTAATATTTTGAACGTAGATCGTATATTGTAAGCAGTAACTTGTTTAGTCCCTTTAAGTGACAGGACGCATTCTCCGCGGGGGGGAACTTCCTTGAAAAAACCCTCGCATGATTGATTTGGTTCCAAATTCTTTTTGAGAAGTTTGCAGACATGTAAAATGGATTAAAATGGCAATTCTGTACTACAGTCTGTCTTCTGCCACACAAATCTTTTGGATGTGAGGCAGCCCTGATGCTTTCCCTTTACAGGGAGAACCGGAGATGTCTAGTTGCCTTACTGCATGTAGAGTTACAAAGGTCATGCAGGAGTACAAATCACTTGCACATTCTCCTCACACACGAGTTGGTCAGACCCAATCGTAAGTTGAATGCCGGCCATCACACGGGATATACCACCGACTGTCCCACTCTCCATGCCACACCTCATCACCACGTGAAGGCAAAGGCTTTCCTTTTCGTGCCTGTGCGCTGTCACGGGGAAACAGGTTCTAGCAAATTCGTTCTGATGACTGGCAACATGACTCACGTCAGTCAATTGATGCTGGATTTGATGCGTTCGAAATATACACAAAGAACAACCCTTCTTATTGCGACTCAGTTGCACGTTTGACAATGGACATGCATGAAAAACATGACTTCACCAAGGCTTAGAACGGCTTAGAGTGTCGGCAGAGGCCACGTTGAAGAAATCTGAAGCCAAGGACAATCTCCCTTCTCGTGTACTGTACGAGTGTGATTGCGGGCTGTTGATCGAGTTCCAAGACATCACCACCAAACATATTTGTTCCTTGCCTTTACCTTTGATTCTGATTTGGGAGGAGTACGTAACCACTTTGGGGGATGGCGGGTGCCGCGAGCTGGCCAGCTTTGCCTCCCAGGCAAGGCAGGAACTGTTCAGGAGACATCGAGTCAAACTTAGAGGCCAGTTAGCAAGATGTTCACACTTTTGGATTGGATCCAGGATATTCAGGATGTAGAGTTCAAACAGTTTTTTTTCTATGTTCAATGTTCTTGCTCTATTTCCTTTGTTGATTGAAACATTTATTTGGTTTTCCATGCATTTTTGTTGACACTGGTTTGCCCCAGCATAGGGTTCAATGAGGTGGCAGGTGCTTGCTCAAGCTACCGTCTGGAAACTGTGGCCACTATTGGCGCCTCCCGACTCCTTCTGCGCGGTGACACGGACGCCACTAGCCACTTTGGCCATTGAGTTTTTCAGCGCGAAACCGAAAAGCTTGCCATGCTTGCAAGGCAAGGTTTGCATTGCAATGGATGAGGCACAGCCGAGAACCGTTGACATGCAAGCAAAAGCAACATCATCATATCAACACCTGATTTCGGTTTCCATTTTTTGTGAAAGATTTATCAAAGGTTTTCTTTTTCATATCATCTCAGGTGGATGGGTGGACGGAAGTTTCCTTTTCAACCTGGCAGGATGTTTTTGTACACATTGTACATCGTACACATTTGCAATGGCCTCCAACCTAATAGCGATGGCCTCCAACCTAGAAACGATGGCCTCCAACCTACATTATTGTACACTGTACACACTTGTACACCAGATTTGAAGAACAGTTTGGTGTCAGGAAGTCCAGTTTGCACGTGCACCTGGGGGTCAAGTCAGCGATGCTATGGACTTTGCCTACTGCATGCTGGAGGCAACCTTAGAATACCGCCTTGCTGAGAAGTTTTCAGAGGACACTTCTCACTTCTTGCATTGAAACTGTTCAGTATCTTAGTGTCAAATCGCTGATTTGTGTCATTGGCACTTTTCGCAGCCTGCTTCTACGGGGAGGAAGTATATTTGCACATATATATATATATACAAACTGAACTCAAGTGCCTGATGAGCTTGAAAGGGAACCTAGTAGCAATGGCCTCCAACCTAATAGTGTCCCAAAAGGACTGCCGAAATGTGGTGACCGAAGGAACCGGGACGTTTCTTGATGTTTCTTGTTCATGCAGCAATTGGCCTCAAGAAGCCTTGAAACCCTCTTCCCTGTTTGCATGCAGAAGTCCCCTTGACTCTTCAGGTGTCTGGTGAGAATCTGAGTGATGCCAAGCAGCTGGGCAGGTTCTATTGAGGTCACTCCCTGGGATCATCATGGAAGTGGAAAATGTTGCTTGGAAGACCATTTTCCTTTGCAAACATGTGGTTTTCCACTTTCGTGATTATTTCAGTACATGTATATATATATAGAGTTGCACCATACACGTGGAAAGGATTTATATAAAGAGAGACCCGAAACAAAGGAGGCCTTACTGTTACTGTAGCTGCTCAAGAAAGGGTCTGTGCGCTTTTGAGGACACTGTTTGGGGGCACCAGCAGGTCTCATCAAGAGAGCCAAGGCGTAGGCAAATAGGGTACCAAACTAGGTGCAGAAGCGTGGTGTAGCTCACGTAGCTGGATGCATTGCAAGAAGTATGGAAGAAGGTGCACCACACTTTGGCCAATTCTAACACTTCAGCCGGTTTTGGCTATTCCTTGCAACATTTTTTTCCCATCTCAGCCTTAGCGTCACTATGCGTCCTTACTACTGCAAAGAAGTTTGTCCTTGAACTTGAACAGAAGCAGCCTGTGCCAAATCATTGTTTTGAACGTCAGCACTTCTGCTTTGTCTTGGGCTCCTTGTCACGTTTAGGATTTAAACATATATATATATATATATTACGGTCATTCTGAATTCTTTCTCGACAAATGGAACATTGTCCATAGCCTGCGAACAGAGTGAATCATTCCCCAAACAGTTTACTGTTGGGGTTCTCTCTTAGGAAAAAAGGGCTGGCCACACTGGCTGGAAGCGCCCCTGAACTCTGTGTCCGGGCTCTGTGTCCAGGTCTTGTCCTCCTCTAGTCCTTCTCTGTTCCGTTGTCCCCTGGCCGCGCTGGCCACCCCTGTGTCCTCCTTTTGTCATTCTCTTGTCCTTCTCTGGTCCTGCTCCTGCTGTTGTCCTCTGGCCGCGCTGGCCAACCCTGTGTCCTCCTCTTGTCCTCCTCTGGTCCGGCTGTTGTCCTCTGGCCGCGCTGGACAACCCTGTGTCCTCCTCTTATCCTCCTCTTGTCCTTCATCTTTTTGTCCTCTGTTGCCCTCATGTCCTCCTGCTGTCGTGCTCTTTACGCTGCTTTGTGAGGGAGGGACCAACAAGTCTTACCGACTAACCCGCAGGTTGGAGGCCATTGCTACTGGGTTCCCTTTCAAGCGCATAAGGCACAACGGATACAAATCAACTCATTTTGGAGTCAAGGTGGCTTGAAGAGCTCCGTGGCGATGCGGCGCTCCGAGAGGCACCTGGCTTCAACGTGCCTTTGCGTCTCATTAGTTCAACGGCCTGCATGCCGTGTTGTGCACCAAACATAAGTTAGGAGCAAGGACGCTACTAGGGGCTCCTGGCCTTACTACTAGGAGCAAGGACGCTACGACTAGAGTAGATACTTCATAAGACTTACATTCTTTGAGAAGCACGAGGTGGAGGTTGTAAGTCTTGATTTGCTTTCCTTTGGGAAGGTACGTAGATTGCATGGAATCTTTGCGTCCTTTCATTTAAACTCAGCACATTTTACCTCATCTGGTAAAATGACACTGCTTTGCCTGATTGAGTTCAGAGATTGACTTACTGTACATTCCTTTCATTTTGCTCGATTTTATGTGTATGTTTTTGTATCTGACTCTTTTTCCATTAACCCTTACCTTTGGCGTTGTTCTAGTCTAACTCAACTTGCTACCTTGTTTGGCTTTCACTTTGTCATCCCATCACACAGTCGCAGCCATTTTCCCATCCAAGCCGATTCCGCGCTCATCGTCACCTCACATTCTTTCACAGGTGGATTGTTGCCTTTCACAGTCCTGAGAGACTTGCGGCTACATGTGTCTTGCAGACACCCACTGGGCCTGAGAGTCCAATGCTATCGCCTTCATCCAAGGTTGGTGTCCAGGCGATAGCAGCACTGCATAAGGACCTTGTGCCATCTTTGCCACATTGGTGCGCCTAGCCTGGAAAGCCTTGAAGCATGTCCATGCAGCAAGGAATTTTTGGCCGTAGGCCCATGAATTACCTTGGTCGAAAACACAGTCTTAATCATATTTCTTCCTTGCCAAGAGTCAAGACTGCTTGGAATGCTACGGAAGTGCCATGCCTGTAGGTACGACGTTGAAGACAGCTTTGCCAAGCCCGAGGTTCGGGTGCATCAGAGTCCTAGCCCTTTGTTGAGAAGAAGATTGGCAGCCTTCCTTAGTCCTAAACATTCTGTGAAGCCGTGTCAATGCAAAGTTGCCTGTTCAAGCCTGCCCAGGAGTTTGGTCTTGCGCTGCAGAGGCGCGCAGACGAATGGCAGGCACAAGAAGCACGAGAAGAGGTGGGGCCCAGGCAATTATATCGCATTATCGCATTATATACAACCCTTTTAAAGGGCATCGCTACCAGGAGCAAGGACGCTATTGGTGGCTCCTGGCATCGCTACTAGGAGCAAGGACGCTACTAGGAACAAAGGGCATCGCTACTAGAAGCAAGGACGGCTCCTGGCCTTACTAGAAACAGACCTTTTAAGGTCCATTGATGGGCCTCGCTTAAAATCCTTCAACGGTCTTCCTGAATTTGTCCCAAGCGCCTTTGGCCAACCTCGGAGGCCCGGCATTTGAGTTCAGCTCATGAAGCAACTTGGCAATAGAGAAAAGCTTTGAGATCATCCAAGCCAGCAATTATATAGTTACGCTGTTACACCGTAAAAATCGTAGCTGATCAAACGCCTCCATTGTGGCTTCTTCCAAGAATCTTTGGCCGAGGGACCTCCAATGGTGCAGCCAGTGCCTACAATGACTGAGGCCAAGGAGGAGCGATGGGTGGTGCCTTTTGGACCGTCGAAAGAATCAGATACTTGTTGGGTTGTCATGAAAGACTGCTGAAAGCAGTGCTGATACATGCACCTGCCGTCTCCCCGCACAGGCAGAGGCAATCCTGCAACCGAAAGACCTTCTGGCATCGGAAAGGACGTCAGAAGACCATATAAGGGATGTTTTTTGGTTAGACAAGAGTGACAAGAGCACAAGAAAGATATGAATGATGAACATGGGAAATGGGGTTGTAAACTCTTCAGGCGATCGAGAACCACCGGGTGGACGGTGGCTGGCCTGTAAATCGGTGTCTCATAGTTGTCTTGGTGGAACATTTTGTCGGTACATGCATGACCTTTGGTTGCTGCTGGGTTGCAAAGCTTGCCTTGTCCTTTTGGAATTACAACCAAAGAGAACCGTTGGGTGTGAGGACAATGCTTGAGTGGATGCACACAGTCTTCGCGCTGGCTGTCATTGCCATAGGCCGAGTGAAGAATACTGGCATCTCGAAGCGAGCGCCTTGCATCCCAACTTCTTGATCTTTGAATTGTGCACAAACACTTTTTGAACTTTGATAATTTTGGCAACATTTGGCAACCCCTTTGAACCTTGGACAGCCACACACTGCAGCATAGGATTGGCCTGGTTTTCTCAGGCAGTTTTTTCATCGGGTCCGGGGCTGTGCTGGCGCAGGGAGGTGAGGTCTTGTTTTGCCTTCCTTCTCTCTCATTGTTCCCAGGCTTGTTTGTTTGCAGGTGGTAGGTTGCTTGCCTTCCCAGGCTTCTTGTCCTTTCGCTTCCTTCCTTTGTCTCCCGCCTCTCCTCTTCTCAGTCTTGCGTTGTCCAGACATTGGATCAGTCAGATATTTCCGAGTTCCCGGACGACTTTCTTTTTTGAGGTAGCTACTAGTAGCAATGGCCTCCAAGCCAATAGCGATGGCCTCCAACCTACTAGCGATGCCCCTAAGAGTGATGGCCTCCAACCTACCAGCCGTGGACTACTTTCTTGCCGTGCTGTACTTGCCTGCCGTCGTCTTCGTCTTCTTCTACTTTGTCGCCACAGGTGGTCCTTGGGGCACGCTGCGTCGGTCAGCCGGGTTTCCGGCCTTGAGGTTTTGTCCTGTCTTCTCCGTCTTTGGGTCTCTTTATATAGGTCTGCTTGCTTTCCAGGTGGCCAGGTGGGCCCGTCCCTCACAGGTTGGGTGCTTTCCCTTTCGCCTTTGTGTTCGGCCTTTCCTCTCTCTCTCTCTCTCATGCTAACATTTAGTTCCTTCTGGTCCCCGATTTGAACTAGAACAGATAGCGGGCCTTTGCATCGGTTTGAGCTTGGCAGACTCGCTTGGAGTTTTGAGACTTGATCAAACTTTGACTCAGGATTTCCCACAGACATCTATGCGATTTTTTGTATTTTCAAATGCTATGTATATATATAGTCTTTGAAAAAAAGTTGGATGAATCTCTTAACTAGTCCTGGTGACAAATGTTTTTCCTTGTAAAGCGGGGGAGGCCTTTGGCGGTATAGTTTGACGGGCAACTTGCCGAAAGGAAAGGCGTTGGCCGAGCTGCTTGGATTGTGAGGATGCGTGACTTCACATTGAACATATTCACGCTTGTCGTGCTGTCACTTCGAAGGTCTCGCCGAGTCTGACTTGTCGCTTGCCTGAGGAGTGATGGCATTCGCAAGGAGTTCTTTAACACCAGTAGCCCCTCTCGGATGCTGTTGCTGAGTTGCAGTTGACGTGTGCAGAGCGCCGACATGTTTTTCTCCAAAGTCGTTTACCTAGTATTTTTGCGTTTTTGTCTTTGGAGTTTGATCATGTTTGATCTCAGCAATTTTATTGTGCTAGGCCTAACCTCAGTTTCATACTTTCCTCGTAATTCGGTTTCATCACATCATGCAGTACCATTCCTGACCTATATATGTGTTGGGTGGGGTTTGTGGCTCGAAGCCTTCATGCAGTAGTCGGTACCCCTGTCGTGGTCTTCCCCTTTGGCATCTCGAGCAGAGCCATGACATTTTTGGCCTACCACGTCAGATATCGTTTTCCATTTGCTCTTGCATCTGCAGACGAGATCCTTTTCCCTTGTTAGTTTTGTCTTTGGGGAAAGAACTTATTGTATCATATCTTATTGTGATTTTTTGGAACATGACACGGAGACATAGAAATTCGGAAGTTTTCTTGCTGGGTTTTGGGAGTTGTGGCTGTTAAAAGATGTGAATTGGAACTTGTCTCTTGGACTTTGCCTAGACGCCAGCTTTCTGTCCACTAGGTCAAGCATTGTGTGGCCTCGGTCCATTTGTGACTTTCCGGTTGAGTGCAATATGGTGACAAGCTCGAGCCAATGGAACCCCCAAGTTTCAAGCATTGACTTACTGTAAGGAGGTTTGGTGTTAACACTGCTTGCAAGATGAGGTCTAGGTCGACTCTCCTTCAGTCTAAGCATTCAGTCTAGTGGTTCAGTGCCCATCCACTTGTCTTTGGTCATTTTGGTGTCGCTCTCATTTAGGGCTTGCACCATGAGTTTGCCGCGGCCTGTTTTTTTTGCACGTCATGCTACAACTTTCTTGCGGTATTGTTGAAGGGTGAGCAGCGTCTGTCACATCGCACACATCGCGAACTTGTTTTTGTGTAACAGTCATACTTTACATTTAGTGCCCAGGCAAGCTGGGGGCGGAAGTTTCAAAAGAGGATACCACCGACGTAACCAATAGATCAGATCAACAAGCGTCCTGTGCATCACAGCTGGCCACGGGACACAAAGCACCACTGACCATACTGCTCACCGGAAACACGCCACTCTTCCGTTCTTTGAATGCTTAACTCTACCCTTCTCTTCTCTGAATCTCTGACTCGACGCTGCTGTACTCTACTCTTATACTTTACTCTGCCGTATGCCCCTCTTATATACTCCGCTCTTCTGTTCTTTACATTTCTACTGTCTTCTCTTCTAAACTTCGTTTGACTAGTTTGATGGCAAAGTGCGAGAGTCGTGGAGCAGATGTATTGTGTTTATTGGTGACGGACATGGGAAAACGCACGAAACCGGTCTGTTTCATGCTGTTAGCATTCAAGAAAAACGGAACTATTTGGATTTGCGTACCGAACATGAACATGTTTGCCAGCGGCATTTGTGGTGTGGCTGTGCCCGGGTCATTCCCACCAACTTTGTTCAGCCTGCAACAACCCCCCTCTTCAAAGAAGTGGGTATTGACTACTCACTATTGGCCGCTATCTATTTTTGCTTCCGCACAATTGAAGGACATACTGAGCCTTGCCTTACTTGCTCTTGACCACCCTCGGGACTCGGATGACCCTCTGACCGAGCGTTGGAGTGGGCCCACTTTTCAAGGAATGGCATTTTGCAAGAAACAACTGTAAAAATCCTGCAACTGTTGACTTTGGATCGAATCTCTGAGGCTTGGGATTTATAGCCTCTTTCTAGTCTTTGTTGCAGTCTGCTTTGGATGGTATGCGGCCGCTTGGCTGGCAGTTTTAGAAAACCGCATAGAGAGATGCTGTCCACATAGACTAGACCTATGCAGGTCCACAAATTTGTGCAGTCTTTGCTTCAACTCAGCTATAAAATACACATAGAGTGCATGCCCCACTCTACCTTCTATACACTGTGGCCATGCCTTTTCTTGGCCAAGCATTTTGCTAGCCGAGGTCCTTTCTCACCTCCAACGGATCAAGGCATTGACCAAGATACCTGGCTAGCAAGGGAGGTTATTGTAACAGTCCTGAAAGTTTAATGACATCTATTTGTCGGAAGTAAATGAAGTCAACTTGCGGTTGCTTGTAGACGAACCGTTCTTATGCAAATCAGCCTTGCAATTTTCTCATAAAACCAGGCCCTATTCCTTGGAAGTTTGGAACTCTGTGACTGTGGAACCAGGAGCCCCTGGTAGCTTCTTGCTCCTAGTAGTAAGGCCAGGAGCCCCTAGTAGCGTTCTTGTTCCTAGTAGCGATGCCAGGAGCCCCTAGTAGCGTCCTTTGCTCCTAGCAGAAATGCCAGGCTTTGATCCCAACTTTTGGTCTCAAATGGTTTGATCTTGAACCACGCCCTGATCAGATCCTAACCTGCGCTGGAAGCTTGAAACCTTGTAAATCCTGGAGCTGGCGTTCTAACAAGCCGTGACACCGCAGAAAAACGCTCTGGCTTATGCAAAATGCTATCTGGGGTCTATGCTGGTGCCATGTTTTGGTTTGTGTGCTTCATTGAGATGAGCTTGACACCTGTGGACACCTTCCTCAGACATTCTCAAGCGCGTTTTGAACCTAGGACCTAGGACCTAAGACAAGCCTCCTTTTGAGCACATTCGTACATGTGTTCACCAGGAATGACCAGAAGGAGCGTATTTTCAATCGACGGACAGGCCCTACTCTTTTTGCAGGTGCGCTGACTCCTTTGGTTCAAGATGTTTTTTGCAAGCCTTGTTCATACAACCTCAATGTATGCGCAAAACCGGGAATGACAGCTTGGGGAAATTGTTGCGCATAGCGGATGCCTATTCTACGGAATTCCAACCGGCTCTTGGGCCTTGACTTGCTTGGAATGCACACGTGTGCTTTTCAGCTTTCGGTTGATTTCTTTGGGCAGTTACTCATTCTTGGAAGCATCTTGTTTGGAACAACTTTGGAACAACTGCTAGGACTGCATATTGCATGTGCAT